TTGTTACTACTAGTAAGGCACTTGTTACTACTAGTAAGGCACTTGTTGCCTGTTGGTCTTGGAGCTGGTCTGCCATGGCCACGAAGTCCTCAGGGCGTCGTAGAAACTTCACGTCGGTGCCTAGCAGCAGTCGACCCTTCGACGTAGAGAGGTGGTCGCAGTCCTTGGTCGAGCTTCGTCCTTTCTTTTGTTTAACAAAAACACTCTTTAGGATGTTTTTGGTATTCTTTTTTTGGTATTTCTTTGTACTTCTTTTCAGGTCCGTGTGCTTCTCATTTTTCTTCCCTTTCCTTTGCTTCGTCGGGATCTATGCTTCCTTGACAGAGCTCCGCCAGCGTCCGTCGCACCGAGGCCCAGTTCTTATCGTCGAAGTCCTTCCGCTGTCTGCGGAAGGGCTGGAGCCGTTGGGCATCGCGGGGATCTAAATCCAAATTCACCAAGTCCTGAGCGCCAGAGGTTCTTGAGAGGCCCTCTGGGGGGCCAGGCCGGCCTTCAGAAATCTCGTGCACAAGACTTGAAAAAACCCTCACCTTGTTTCAGCCATCTGATGGGTTGGACCCGCCCCTTCGATTTGTTTAAAAGAACACAGAGAATCACCGATCGCAAAATCAAGGCGTCATAGCGGTTCCACGGAAGTCTGCGAAAGATCTCTTGGGCATAGGAATGCGTGTGGTTGTCCGTGTAGACCACATACTCAGGATGTCCAAACTGACTGGCCATTAGTGCCGATGCCAGGTTCTTCTCTGCCCAACAGAGTGAGTTCTGCAAGAAGGGCACTTGCGTGTTCAACAGGCTCTCGGTGTCATTGCTGGGCTGTAACAGACTAAATCGGACCTGAATTGGTTTGGGATCCGCCAGAAGACTTGGAATCTGCAGCATCTCAGACCTCACCAGTCGTGAGGAGCCGCTGTGTGCGCTGGAATCCACCAAGACCTGCACAAACTGCTGCTGTCGATTGTACGCAGCTGCTGACACGAAACACGCAGCAAAGGCGGTCCACATCCTTAGCATCACATCGGCAAACAAGCATCCGGGATGAACGGGACATCTTCCGATCACATCTTTCCAACCAAGATCACATCACATCTTTGATAAAATTGCCAAGATTCTTCGGGACACGCTGCGGCTGGTCTACTAGTAGTACTGATCCAATGAGTTGCGTGAGTTGAGGGAAGGACTCTGAAAGCACACGCTGAACAATCCAACACAGCGTGAACTTCCACTATCCTCTTGCACCAAGGACTCACAGACTCTTCTTTTCGACCCGACCTCTCGCAGTGTCCCGGCGACGCCGTCCCACAGGTTCCAAGGCAAAGTTCGTGAAAAGCGTTGAACGTTGCCTTTAAGCAAGGACGCTACTAAGAGCAACGGGCATCGCTACTAGGAGCAAGGACGCTACTAGGGGGCTCCTGGCCATGTCTGGGCAACTTCTAAGTCGTCTGGGCACCGATGAACTCCAAAAACGGTGTGAGCGATTCAAGCAGCGTCCGGTGTCGAAGAAAGGAAGCACCCCTTTGGGGTCTCAGGAAAATAAGGAATTCACTCACTCTCTCCACATGGTGAACCTGGGCAATCATTGCACTTTCATAAGCAAGAACAAACACATTCACGACCCATCCAACCCGATGGCTTGGGAGCCGGACCTTGACACCAAGAATACATGCATGCTATGACCAACCAGGCCTACTGAACATGGATCTCCACAAATGCAAAATTCTTCCATGCAAACACAGTATTCTCGATTTGCACTTACTACATAAAGTAATTGGACCTTTTCACAACAGCCAAAGAAACATTAGGTTGGAGGCCATCGCTATTAGTTGCTTCTTCTATCATAAACACTCCATTGAAACATGGTGGTTTGCATCGCACTCTCCCACCAAATCCGCAGATCCGACCCGGGTGGGCCCGGCCGATAGCGGGTGTCTGCGACCACGCCGAAGTCATAGCGCTTCTGCCGCCATCCCGGGATGTTGCCCAACCTCAGGATGGCCATGGAAACCGCTGAGGCCTAGGAGGTCAAGCGTTACTGCAGAAGAAACCCATCTGAACACATGGCCGGAGGTGAAGAGATATTCTTTATGTCTTCTTATTGCCGATTGGCAACCTTCTTGAGCAGGATGTTGAGGTCTGATACCTTTTAGGTCCATTTAGTGAACTGACACGTGTGGGAAGAAGATGCCGCGGCTGTTAGACACTCAAGTGCTCTTCTGGAGGCCATCCCTAGTAGGTTGGAGGCCATCGCCAGTAGGTTGGAGGCCATCGCTATTAGGTTAGAGGCCGTTGCTAGTAGGTTGGAGGCCATCGCTATTAGTGCCTTATTGTATCATGAACTGAGTCAACACAATTGTTACACATGGAGTCGAGCGAGTGAATTCTTCGTCGTGCCGTTGGTCTTCGCACTTTGGTCTCTGGCTCTGAGTAGGTGCTCACGTAGTGGGGCTTGTTGACCTGAGCATTACAATGACTTGACTTGATGGGAGATTTTTTTTTTTTGATACATGCCTTTTCTAGACCACTATTTTTCTGTTTAGACCACTGGTCTGACTCTGACTCTAAAATCTCTTCCTTTCATTTGTTGGCCTTGATCCCGAGGCAATGGTCTCCCTCCTGCGACTTCTTCGCCTGGACAGGGAGGCCGAAGACCCGCGTCTCCATCAACCCTCACATCGTTCGATGTCATCCAAAGACCTCGTCTTCATCTGCCAAAGCGGGTTGACCTAACTTCATCTGATTTCGGGCCTGCAAATCCGGCTGGTCGAAGAATATGGCCTTGGAGAGGAAATGGAACTTGTCCGGAGAGCCGTACTCCTCACGAACTCAGATGTCTGATGGACCTCTCCTGAACTTTTCAGCTCCCACATCTATACTATATAAACTGGGTCAGAAGTGACCTTATCAAATCAGATTAGTTGAATAGCTATGGCTATCCGTGTTTTCAATCTGAACTTAGTCTTTGCAAGCCATAAAATCGGTAGATCCTGTCGAACGCCTGAAGTCTCTGTGAATGATCGCCCACCTTATCTTTTAGTTATGAATGGTGGCTCAGTAAAGAACAGGGAGACTCAATTGAGCAGCAGGAACTGGATACTCTATATTCCCCAAAGAGCTCATTGCTTCTTCTCCCTTTTCGCGAACTTTTGAGGAAACCCCCTCAGCAGAAACCCCACCTGGAGCGACCTAGCCGGGACTCGCGCGACCGTCGGACCACGCCGGCACGAAGGGACGACGTCGTCTCCGGCGTGGTGAACTTCTGGCCCTCGCCCAACTCGGACATCGTCGACTTGTGGAAGGGCTCCTCTAGCGAATGGCAAACGAAAACCCAGTGAACGAACAGGGCGAACGGTGCAGCTTTTCCAAAACGAGTGAACTCAGTTTGATCACTGCGACACTATGCGTGGTGCCCATCGGGCGCAGTAGTTGTCACACCGGGCGCCTTGCTCACGATGCCCAAGGACAAATCACCCTCCTGTCGTTTGAAGTTCTTGTCTGCCTGTCCGAGGCAATAAACGTCTCGAGGATGTAAGTCAGGAATCAAAAGGGAGATATGTCTGAAACAAAAGCAAATTTGAATTTACAGCATGAAGATATAGGTTATAGTTCAAATTTGCCTTTTGAGACTCTATATATCTGGGCCTAGTTACATCAAATTAACCCGGAAAACAAGTCCAAGCGAGGGGTGTGTCTTCTCAAAGAACCTTAGAACCCAACTCCGTTCGGAGAGGTCCTGGCATCTCGATGCATCTTGCTTGTATGGACCCATTCTCATGTGGCTCTGGGCTCCAAACCTTCATGAGAAAAACCACCCGCACTTGGAGTTCAGAGCCATCAACTGAAGAAGACCAGGATGGACCTGGTCTGAGCTCTTTTAATGATTTCACATCGCCCCAATGGGGGTTGGATTGAAGGGATCGCCTTCCTGGACGAGCCGAGCACGGCCTCATGCACTCGTGCATCTCGGTTGACCTCGGCGAGCTCCACCGCGAACCTGGAAGCGAAGAGAAGAGCGCTTGTTGAGCCTTCGCAACTTGGGCTTCGACGTCGAAGAAGCTCTGCTTAAAGCTTACAAAGCATGACTAGAGTGAACAGCCAGCCACAGTCCTCTTGTCCAGGCCAGACTCCACCTGGCGAGAAGGCACTGCATGTAGACTGTGACATACTGAAGTCTTTATTCTTTATTCTCTTCAACTGCCGAACTGAGTCCGCTTCTTGCCTGGCCCAAGCTGTGGGAGGTAGCGCTGAAGTGTGGGGCGCTCCTCAACCAAACAACCCTGGCCCTTACAGTGCTTTGGTAAGCTTCTGGGGATCCACTCTTAGCTGCGTGATGAAGACGACTGGAATCCCCATGTGCGTTTTGAGGACACTGTGCTTTCGATGACAGGCAACAGCCCACTGAAGTCTAAGCAGCCCAAGAAGGCTTCCTTTCCTTTTGAGCGGTTGATGGGAAAGACAAAAAGAAAACTACTTGGAAGATCTAATTGCGACTCGAACGGAGCGATCGGAGTAGGTTGCAAGATCCAGCATTGCCTTCGTCGCATCGGACACTCAGGGCCCGACGCACGGATACCTCGCAGGAACGGGCACGACCACCAAAACACCGTTCAGTTCGTAGGAAGACGCTGGCGCGACAGGCACAAGCCATGTGTAGCAACAGCAGCACTGCCAAGAAAAATGAACGATGTTGGCTGAAATGGTTCGGACACATACCAACTCTGGAGCCCTATGCACGTGATTCACATTCCGTACAGCTCTCAAAATGTTGAAAAGGTGAACAACACTACACTGTACGTTATGAGGTTGGAGGCGATTGCTATCAGCAACTAATAGCTCCCCAGTTGCTTATTCTCTTAGGGTGAACAAAGTTGATGTTGATCTTGCAGCTTCACCTGGCGACTCTCCAAGCCCTGATCCCCGATCCATTCAGCCTCGGGTGTGGTCGCCCGGGCCGGCATGCTCATCCGCGGCACAGGGGCCCCGCGGCACGCCGATGCGGGCGTTCTCCACCGCCCTAAACCGAGAGCTTGGAGAAATTCGACATGGACAGCAAATACAATCAAAAACAGAAGGAAGAAACGCAATACGATCCAAAGATCCTGAGAAGAAAGGGAAGGCAAGACAATGAGGGAAAAGAGAGGGAAAAACCCAAAGCAAGACAACTAGAATCAACTAGACTCCTAGACCACAACAGAAGGACTCGTTCCCTTCACAAGATCTGTCGCCTCTCGAGCTCATACTTGGACCAGTTGCCCGGGACGTTGCCATAGTTCCATGAAGAACATTCATGAAGCGCCTCGAACAGTAAGGCACTTGTTCCTAGAAGCGTGGCACTTGTTACTACTAGCTTCTTGTTGCTACTATTAAGGCACCTGTTACTAGTAAGGCACCTGTTACTACTAGTAACCGGAACATTCATGAAGCGCCTCGAGAATCGGTGTCGTCTTTGCGGTGTCGCTACTGGGACGACGACTCGCATCGTTACTTTTACCACAAATCCCGTCATCCTTCGCGTCTCGGAGGTCCCAGTCAGCTTGACAGGGCTCCATTCAAAAGAAAGAAAAACATCCATCATGACAAGTGAATCAACTCCTGGTGTTGCTCGTGGTCTGTCTTTTGCGCTTCCAACGCTTCCAACTAGGTTGGAGGCCATCGCTACTAGCAAGAAGCTACTAGATTTTTCTTGTTTCTAGTAGCGATGCCAGGAGCCAATGAAGACGCCAATGAAACTCCACGTGTTCCCCGCCTTGGACGTGGAGCCGTCGCCCTTGGGCGCCTTCGTCCGCCGCGCCCGCGCCCGCTGGGAGGCCTCTTTCCAGGACACCGACCTGCGGTTCTCTCGAAGAAACGTTCAAAACCAACAGGACAATGCACCAGGTCTCCTTTGGAGGTTTGTTAGGCCCTAACAGGTTTCAATTGGTGACCTGTTGGAGGTGCTGGAACAGGACAATGCACCTTTTTTTGAAGGTGTTTTTCTTGGAGTTCTGAACATGACCCTTGGAG